AAGAAGAAGAAGAAGAAGAAGAAGAAGAAGAAGAAGAAGAAGAAGAAGAAGAAGAAGAAGAAGAAGTCAAAAGAGTGTGAGTTCTCTCTCATTTGTTTGTGCTTCGGCAATCGCCGTTGGATCTCGTGTAGGATCAGATGTGCTATTTCAGACAACCACGTGTCACGTTATCACTGACGCCTCGTTTTCTTCAATCTCTTCGTCAACTTTCATAATTCCATATCCCCCACCACCACCACCACCACCACTCTCACCCTCTCTTACGTCGTCGTTCATAGTTTATAAGATTTTTGGACTTTTCTTTCTTCTTTTTATTTTTTTGTTACTTCTGAGATCGTTCTTTTTTTTTGTTTGTTTAACAATTACGTATGTTTTTTTAAGTTCATTTCTTATGAGTTTGGTGGGCAATATTCATTTAACTTTGGTTGGGGCAGTTGTGATCATTTCTATTCTTAATCACGCCATTCCAAGTTTCCAACTAAAGTCTTTGACTTCGTTTTCTTAATTACGTTTTGTTTATACTACTATTTAATCCGATAGGAGTTATGTACATACTTAAATAAATCACTAATAGAAAAGCAACTATTTTATATACATATACAATCCTGACCACTTGCTAACCAAGATGATCTAATCCCTTTTGTCTTTTTTTTTCTTTTTTCTTTTTCTTATAACAATACTTGGTAAACAGCGCAGCGTGATTGGGGTTTTAAAATCTTCCAGGTCAACCTTGGCTTGCAAGTCAATTCTGGCTTACATAGTACTGTTTATATCACGAACTAGATAATACAATCATTCGACAGAAGTAACATTAAACAATGAAACCTAAGTAGCCAAAAAAGATGGCCTACCTCCTCCATAGAACAGGTATCAACAAATTTTGCCACAAACACAAGTAGCCTAACAACTACTCTTCCTACTTGGGTTGTTCACATACTTTTTACCAGCGCAGTTCTAGAAACCTTTCCTTTTTTTTACATATAAATTGGTTAACCGCAATATCTTTCGTTATGAAATTTTCTGGATCAGAACGTTTGCTCTTTTTATTTAAATATCACCTTGTTTGAATCATGATGTGGCATATATATAGATAAATAAAGGCCATTCAAATGTACGTCTTTAAAAGAATATTATACATATATAGTATTAATAAAACAAAAGAAATTAATTTATTAAATTCTTAATTAGAAATTAAATTCTTACGAGATATTGAATTTAATATAGAAAAATACATGTGTTGTTTGAATGAGAACAAACAAAAAAATATTCATGTATCTCGTGGCGTGTGAGCGTTATATATGCATATGAAACAGACATTTTGACAGTTTTCTACAAGTAGACCGAGCCCCATAGTTGGCGGGTAAAGTAGAACCACATAGCAGAACGAAAAGTCTCACTTTCTTCCTTCCTTGGTTCAAAGGTCTTCCTCCCTTTGCTCTTCTCTTCCAGACACCTTCCGTTGCATCATCATCATCATCATCATCAACACCTCCCCTTCTTCAGCTTTTCTTGTTTGTTCCTTATGTTCTTCTCCGTTTGTAAAGAATCAAACAGTTCAGTTGCTTAGGGAGTCACTTGTTTCTTCCTCTTCTTCTTGATCAGGTCAGCTTTTACCGCATAACCTTTTTAAAACCGATTAGATTCCTCTTTTACTTAGTTTTTTTTTTTTTATATCAAAACAGAACAAGAAAGATAATTTGTTTCTTTGATGTTTGGTTAGATTTTGACGATTTCCGAAAAGTTACCAAGTCTTTCTTCTCTGGTCTGACTATATTTGTGTGTGTGTGTGTTTATTACGTCGCTGTTGAGTAAATTACTCTGTCTTTCAGACCGTTCGTTGCTAAAAAAAAACGTAATTTAATTGACAGATCATTAGCTTCGAAATGGGGAAGCATTTGAAAAACGAGACTTCTAGTCCAAAACATGGCAAATACAATCACAAATCAGGATGGTTGGCTGGAATGCTTCATGTGCTTGACTTTCACCATTGGAGAACTAAGAACCGCCCAATCTGTAAGTAAGCCCCTTTTGTAATTTTATTATTATCTTTCAAAAGTTTTGTTTAAAAGAAGATAATTAATTTTGTTAAATGATTCTTTTACTCTGTTTTCATAGGTTGGAAGACCCCAAGAACTCATTCCTTGATGCGTGAAACAGAGGAACATGAACCGTTTCTTGATTCTAAGGATGAAGATTCAAAGATGGCTAATGTTGTTGAAGATAGTAAGCCGCCAACGAGACCAGATACAAAACTGAAGAAGATGATGTCTACAAAGCAAGTAACTGAGTACGTGGATTTTCTTGAAATCTTGAGAAAAGAAGATGTTTTTGTCAAGATTATGAAAGATCAAGTCCAGATCAAGTCTAATCCAAGAGCTTTGCCCAAGTCAGGCTCGTTTCCTGTCTCACGCTCTCCAATTCCTGCTAGAATTGATCACAAGCAGAAGGAGAACTGGTATTCTCCTAAGCAAAACGGTGCACTTTTGAATTTGAATGTTCCAAGAGACAACACTTCTCAAGAACACAGACCAGTCTCTCCTTCTCGTGGCTCAGCTGATGATGGTCACGGGTTTAATAACACTGTTATAAACCGATTCAGAGAAATCAAGAAGTTGCTCAAAAACGCACTCAAAGACCGGAATCACACAAGGAAGAAGAAGAAAAGGGTTTCAGATCATGTCGCGAAAGATGATTATGAAGGGAGATACTCTCAACTCTTGGAGCAAAGTTTCAGAAGAGAAGGTGGTGAACTGCGCTCGAAGAGCTTAAAACTTTCGTATGAAGATAGAAAGAGCGATTCGAGAGATAATATACCACAATTCTTCAGACGGATTTCATCTTTGTCCAGTCTTGAAGTTCTTGGTTCATTTCTGACCGACCTTCCCCGAGACAGTTCTACTTCCAATCTGGAACCTAGGAAACATCTCGACCAAGATACTAACTTTGGATCCAAGAAACCATTATTGTTATCAGAATCTCCGATAAGAGCAGAGAAGGAAAAAAAATATGAGTTGCACGAAGAGAGAAGCCAAGAAAGTTACTTAGACAGCCCAAACCGAAGAATCCTTCCACAAGATCCACATTCAGTTCCTAGTGTCAGTTCTTTGGAAGATACTGCGGAAAAGACCGATACTTTAGTCTCACAAGGTAACCTCTTGAACGAACGTTCTAGATAGCTTCATTGTTTGATGAGAGAAAGATATGCAAGTCTCAATTCTTTGATTGCTTGTCCTACAGGTTTAGGTCTAAGCTCTTTAGAAACTTACAACCATGAAGAAGAAGATGAAGATGCCTACTTCTGTTATGTAAAGAAGGTTCTAGAAGTTTCAGGCTTCCTCGATAACAAAGACAACGACGAAAAATGGCACGCAGAGGAACAACCACTGAATCCATCACTAGTCTACGAACTCGAGATACAAGAAGAAGCAGTAGTGAACAACAGAGAACTTCTCTTTGATTTGGTTAACGAGGCAATCGTCGAGACTCACAACGAATCACACATATACTTCCCTAAAACGTTTCCATACGGCAAACGTTATCTTGATGAGGTATGGGGAAGAGTCGAGTGGAACCTCTCTGGTGTAGGAGCTGAGAATAAAGATCGTTCATTGGACGATATTGTGGGAAGAGATCTTCTTAAAAAGGGTGATGGATGGATGAATCTACGACGTGAATCTGAATGGCTTACCCTTGAGCTTGAAGATCTGATTTTTGATGATGTTCTAGATGAGCTGCTTTGTGTTTATTAGTATAGTTTACAAATAGAAAACCTCTTTTTGAATATTTCAGGTAGGTTTTTGCCTTTTATTTTTGATATACATGTATATAAATATTTGTTTTGATACAAAATCCAAGATTTCTTACACCTTGTATAATAACTTGCTTTGTCAGTCCCAACTTTTTTTTTTTTTGATGAAAACACAATTTTTAATAAGACATTTTCTATAAGCAGTTAAATCAGTTAAAAGGCTAATTTAGTCCATTTATTTTCACTTAATGGGCCGTTCCTACTTTATTGGGCTGAGCCTATTACGTTAAACCCTCACTAGCCACTGGCTCGGATTGGTCTCCGACCACCACCGCGGTGACTCCCCCGATCGATCAACTACCTCGAGGGCACTTTCCTGTGTCTGTAATTTACTGTAACCTTCTCTAAGGTCGCCGGAGATCCGTCGGAAAGAGGTCGAGTTGATGTGGCTAAGCCGGCTCCGATGTTTGGGATCTTACGGAAGAACTCAAAAACCGCCATGGATGAGTTATCCAGTGGTATTCTACTCAGATTTTTCGGAGAAAAAAGGGAAAGATGCGCCTTTGCAGGTGATTTCATCATCTATTCACTTCCCCCACAAATAAAAACCCTAATTTATTACAGCTGAATCTGATATGTGTGTTGCTGTGCAGGAGACTAGGATGAGAGATAGGTTTACACTGTACGCACGCGGCGGTGAAGGTGGCAGTGGTTGTTCCAGCCTCCGACGGAGCCGTGCCGATCGCTATGGAAGACCTGATGGTACTATCTCCAAATTGATGAATTATTCCCAATCCATAGCTATGTTTTAGGTTTGGTATACTTTAGAATTGGAACACTCTTTGAGTGATTGATTGATTCGAAGAATGTTTATGTTGATGTAATGTAATTGGAACTTAGTTTAGGTGGCAATGGTGGCAGAGGAGGTGATGTGATATTAGAATGCACACACGCAGTTTGGGATTTCAGCGGATTACAACCTCATGTTGTAAGTTTATGTCACTCTTTTCGTTTTCCCGGAAAGATCATTTAACTTAAATGGTTTTATGAGTTTTGCAGAAAGGTGGGAAAGCTGGACATGGAACTTCCAAGAACAGGATAGGAAACAGAGGAGAAGACAAGGTTTTATTATGATTCATTACTGTTCCTCTGCTTCTTTCTTTTATTTGTCTTCAACTTATACATGGTTCTGCACTTATTTGTGTTATTGCAGGTCCTACAAGTGCCTATTGGGACAGTTATTCATCTTCAGGAGGGTGAGCTTCCGTGTCAGGTGGAAAATGAGTCTCCCAAAGATTTGGATCCATGGGATCTTCCTGGCTCACTGGTTGAGAATCCTGCCTTTGAGGAGAACCTTGGTGCTCATCAAGAAACTATGCCTGAGTCTGTTCAAGTTGATGATACTGAGAAAGAGAGTTTGACGAGACATTTAGGCATCCCAGAGGAAGATGATTTTGAAGACAGCGAAGGAGAGATTGATCAAATCAGGTATAACGTTGCGGAATTAACAGAACAAGGTCAGAGAATAAGCATTGCTCGTGGTGGTGAAGGCGGTTTGGGTAACGTTTGTGCTACACGTTATGTAAAAGGCAGCAAGTTTGCTAAATCCGCTATCCGTCAAACCAATTTGAGGAGCATGGAGGACGATGCTGAAGATGAAGATGAACGGTCAAGTATTAAAGCCGGCTCGCTCGGTTCTGAGTCTGTTCTGATATTAGAACTCAAGAGCATTGCCGACGTTGGCCTTGTCGGGTTGCCAAACGCAGGGAAAAGCACTCTTCTTGGTGCGCTATCCCGTGCTAGACCCCGAGTGGGCCACTACGCGTTCACGACACTCCGTCCGAATTTAGGAAACGTAAACTACGATGATTTCTCCATGACGGTAGCAGATATTCCGGGACTTATAAAAGGAGCTCATCAGAACCGGGGTCTAGGCCACAACTTTCTCCGCCATATAGAACGGACCAAAGTCTTGGCTTACGTTGTGGATTTAGCATCGGGGCTAGATGGTTGCAGAGGAGTGACACCGTGGCAACAACTGAGAGATTTGGTGATGGAGCTTGAGTACCATGAAGAAGGGTTATCCGATAGGTCGTCTTTGATTGTGGCAAATAAGATCGATGAGGATGGTGCAGACGAGAGATTGAAAGAACTTGAGAGGAGAGTGAAAGGAGTGAGAATATTTCCGGTTTGCGCAGTTCTTGAAGAAGGCGTGGCTGAGCTTAAAGATGGTCTGAAAATGCTTGTAGACGGTGACGGTGAAGGATCAGAGAGATTGAAATTGGAGAATATCTGTGTTGACTAGTTTTAGTTTTGTATCTCTTTTGAGTTCAGCTTGTTTCAGTAGAGCAACAAATTTGTTCTGGTGAACTCGCTCAACTGTTGTATACAATGAATTTTTTTCACAAAATTTATAATTGAATATTTCACGTTGTTTAGTAAAACAGGATATGATTATGCAAAATGCTAGAAACATTTGATAATCAAAAGTTCAAAACTGTAATTAACTATCCTAAAAATGTTTATATTTGTTTAGTTAATTAACCTTATATATTTTCTGATATCCTATGATATGGAGAGAGGAGACATATCAAATCACAAAAGTCAAATACATATATATTTGTGTCTTACGTTACACGATAAAAACATTACACAGCAGGAACAAGTCAAGCTTGATAATAGTTATTACGCAACACAATAATAATATAGATGCCAAGTCTTTATTCCAACAACACACACAGATATCTTATCATCAACAGACATATTTTCCCACTTTCCTTGGCATATATATATGATTTAAGACCACACAAGGAATCCTTCAACAGCTACAGTTTGACCCGCAACTGCAGTTTGATCCGCAGCTGCAGTTGTCGCACTCCTGGTTGTAGTTCTTCTCGCAACTTCACCAAACATTAATAGAGAAACAAAAAAAGAGAAGCACGAATTCAAAATTTCATATTAATATGATAAGATATACTAAGCAACTACATACATATCATACAGAGGTAAATAAGAGAAGATCTAGGGCTAACCTGCAAGAGTCACCGCATTTGCAGGAGGAGCCACATCCACAGTTAGAACCTGCCATTTCTCTTACTTGATCTTGTTGATTAATTTTCGTAGCTTATTTTTCTTCTTCTTCTGATGCTTTATGCGATTTAAGCAAAAGGAATGGCCACTAATTATAGAAAAAGAGGAAGATTCTGTTTCATTATTTGATTTATTTCCACCACACATATATACATCTATATAAATTTTCCTATATAAAATATAATTTCTATTTTGTCAACTTTTGTTTTTTGTAAAAGTATATTTTATTTTGTCAACTTTCCTACATATATTTTATTGCTTTAAGTTTTAATTTAATATATGATAGGTATGAAAAAAATTTAGTATACATTAATTTGAGATATTTGGATAGAGCTTTCTTGTTGGACTGTATAATCCCTCTTTGCTAAATAATATGTCCAAAAGTTTCTCTCTATCTTTTTTTAGTATAAACATGTAATTTAACAAGATTACGTGATAATCTTTACATTTAAGACAACATATTACTTACTAAGATAAAGCTGCAATATTTGATCCTATTATTAGAATCCTATTATTATAATTGTCACAATTAGTTTTGTAAAATTACAGGCAAAATTATCAAGTAAACGAGGCCGGCACGTAGGAACTAGGAAGTCAAAAAAGAAAGAAAAATATTCGATAGGATTTGTGAGTTGTGATGGAACGTAATTTCACGACCAATACATATTGAGGACCTCGAAGGGCCAAGAAGCAGCCAACGAAAACATCTCATAACCCCAACTTTACTGCATGTTACTATTCTATTCTATAATGACCCTATCTACGATTATTATTCCTTCGATTGTCTTGTCTTTTACGTAAAGTAGCGACGTTTGTGAATTCCTAAGAATATAGGATAGACAGAGACGACTCAACCCCAAACAAGTTTTGCATGGTTCTCATATCTTTGACGCTCCCTCAACATTAGTAAAAAGTTAGGGAACCTACTCAAAACTTTCGGCAGCAGAGACAAAATAGGCTTTGTTCAGAAATCAGTCTCTCACCGACAGATTTAACACCACAAAATCATACTAATAGTTTTATTTTGGGGGAGAAAATGGAAAACATATATATCCTCCATCTACCCTAATTTTTTTAAGTATCAAGCTCAAAGCCAATTTTATCTTAAAACGGATCTCAAAAATGGATCATATAATTCTCATACTAAAGCTTTTCATGATATTATAAATAAATAATAGAACGTAGACCGTGTCTTGGATCTCGTCCAAATACAGGAAGATTTCAAGACAGAGGACAACAATTCTCATTTAATTTAAGTTTTTTTCCTGACGCATAAGATAACATTTACAAGATTTAGGATAATGTTCCTTTTATCCATATAATACAGCATATATAGTGGATACATATGTAAACTATGAATATGTATATTGTAATGTACATAGATATAATACGCGTATGAAAATATTATTAACATGTTGTCAAAACAAACATACATACATACTGGTAAGTAAATGAAAGAGGCAAGCTTCATGCCTCTTTCTTTTTTTTTTTTTTTTTTGGGTCGGCTGCCGTTTACAATTGAGATAGTTACTCTTGGTTGCGTGTACGACTTATTTTATTTTATTTGTTGAAACTCATATTAAAACATCAAATTACTTTCCTGAATGAAACTGTTAGAACAAATCTAAGATTAAAGAACATAAATAGGCAAGTTGATGTTATTTCTAATTAGATTTGTTTAAGATTATTAATATTGTTCTCACCAGAAAGCAATCCAATTATCCTGCCCGTGTATATACAATCTTTTTCTTTTCTTTTCTTTTTCTTACCTTGTCAATGTCATACACGAAATTAAAACTTGAGGAAATAAGAAAAGCCACGTGTATGGTGGATATAAAACGCATCTTTCTCTTCTTCTATAAATAGTGGTCATTCCCTTTTGTTGAATTCACAAAAGCATCCGAACAAAAAGAAGAAAAGAAACTACAACAATCTACAATTAACAAAGAAGAAATGGCAGGTTCTAACTGTGGATGTGGCTCCTCCTGCAAATGCGGTGACTCTTGCAGGTTAGCCCTAGCTAGATCTTCTCTTCTTGTATCTGTCTTTACTTACATGCATCAAAACTATATTAGGAAAATTAGGTTTTGTGCGGTACTTGAGATTTAATTGCTCCATGGTACAACTTCAAAATTCTTACGTTTCTTCTTTTACTTTTAATAGATCCAATATTTTTTAGTTTTTTTTAAATTTTAAATTTGCATTAGACTCAGGAAATATTTCAGGTCGGTCTTGCATATTTAGATGTGGTTAATTAATTAGTCTTATATAAATCTCATCATATAAACTAATTAATAAATTCTGATTATGATTTTATTTTGTGTGGTAAAGTTGCGAGAAGAACTACAACCAGGAGTGCGACAACTGTAGCTGTGGATCAAACTGCAGCTGCGGGTCAAACTGTAGCTGTTGAAGAACTTATTGTGGTCTAAAAACCATATATGCCAGGAACACTGGTGAAAAAATATGTGTTTGATATGCTAAGAGACGTGTGTGTGTGTTAGAATAAAGGACGTGACATTATTGTGTGTTGCGTAATCACTCTCTTAAGCTTTTGACGTTTCCTGCTTTGTATTTTCTATGTGGTGATGGTTTGATTGTCTAATTATGTCATATGTAACCTAAAACAAAAAGAAAAAAACAAAAATGAATATGTGTATTGACTTTTGTGATTTTTAAGATATCATCTATACCTCTCCTCTGTTTATATATATATTTAGGATATAAGTTTAATCATCTAAGTTAATCATCACAATTATTAGTACAAAATACTAATCCGAATCATACAAAATTAAGCAATTAGAAACCTAATTAACAAAATACTAGCCTAACTAAGTAAAGCTAATTAGTGAGTAGTGACATCTTAAGACACAACAGTAAAACATATGTTTGACCCGAAAAAGATGTATGTATAGAAGTCAATATGTTACTTAACGGGCTCTAAAAAGTTTACGGGCCAAAGGTCCCCCAAAAAAAGAAATGAGATCCATTATTGCGGTGATGAGACAAGGAGCATATTTCGTTCAGGCAATACGTCGAACACCTTGCGTGACATCTTCGCCTGCGCTGGATCATCCCAATTTCCAAGCTTCGAGCTTTCTCACGACATTAATATCGTCTCCGAAATCTCCTGAAGAGAGATGTATCGGGTCGGACGGAGAAGAAGAGCGCGACAAGTGTTTGTCTCTGAGAATCGAGAAGCTCCCGAAGGGAGTTACTGTTGGGTCTGCGTTACAGAGCTGGATGGGAGATGGGTTTCCAGTTCATGGTGGAGATGTTTATCACGCAATTAACCGATTGAGGAAACTCGGACGAAACAAACGTGCCCTTGAGGTTCTAAATTCGTACTTGCTTATCTTTTCTCTCTCCATAGCAACTCGGATCGTTGTACCAATGTGATTTTGTCAAATTGAACTGAAATGACTACTTCAAATCGAAATGAGTTTTTTATTTTATTTTTGTTTATATGAAGATAATATTGAATTTGAGCTGAGACATTTTGGTATGTTTGATTCAGTTGATGGAGTGGGTGATCAGGGAACGACCTTACCGTCCTGGTGAGCTAGAATACTCCTACTTGCTGGAATTCACAGTCAAACTTCATGGCGTCTCGCAAGGGGAAAAGCTTTTCATCCGTGTCCCTCAAGAGTTTCAGAACGAGCTTCTTTACAACAACCTTGTGATTGCTTGTTTAGACCAAGGTGTCATAAGGCTTGCACTAGGTTATATGAAGAAGATGAGAGAACTCGGTCATCGTACATCCCATTTGGTCTACAACCGTCTTATCATTCGCAACTCAGCTCCCGGACGAAGAAAGCTTATCGCGAAAGACCTTGCGCTCATGAAAGCTGACAAGGCGATTCCTCATGTCTCAACATATCATATCTTGATGAAGCTGGAGGCTAATGAACATAACATTGACGGGGTGCTAAAGGCTTTTGATGGTATGAAGAAAGCTGGAGTTGAGCCGAACGAGGTTTCTTATTGTATATTGGCTATGGCACATGCTGTTGCGAGATTGTATACAGTTGCTGAAGCCTATACTGAGGAAATAGAAAAATCTGTCACAGGGGATAACTGGTCGACCTTGGATATATTGATGATTCTCTATGGGCGTTTAGGGAAAGAAAAAGAGCTGGCGAGAACGTGGAATGTCATCAGAGGATTTCATCATGTTAGATCCAAGAGTTACTTGCTGGCAACCGAAGCGTTTGCGCGAGTAGGGAACCTTGACAGAGCTGAAGAGCTCTGGTTAGAGATGAAGGACGTAAGAGGACTTAAAGAAACTGGGCAATTCAACTCTATGCTCTCTGTATACTGCAAGGACGGTTTGATAGAGAAGGCAATCAGTGTGTTCCGAGAGATGGTGGGAGACGGGGTTAAGCCTAATTCCATAACTTATAGACATCTTGCTCTAGGATGTGCTAAAGCCAAACTGATGAAGGAAGCTCTCAAAAACATTGAAATGGGTTCGACTCTAAAGACAAGCAAAAGCGTAAGAAGCTCAACACCATGGCTGGAGACGACTCTATCAATCATCGAATGTTTTGCAGAGAAAGGTGATGTAGAGAACACAGAGAAACTGTTTGAAGAGGTGAAGAATGCAAAGTATAATAGGCATGCGTTTGTGTACAATGCTCTGTTCAAAGCTTATGTTAAGGCCAAGGTGTATGACCCTAATCTGTTCAAGAGGATGGTTCTTGGTGGAGCTAGGCCTGATGCTGAGTCATACAGTTTGTTGAAACTAGTTGAACAGTATAAACCCTGACTGAAATCAGACCTTCTCTTGTCAATGTTATCTACACCAATGTTGACATGCTTCGTACCCTAACCCCAAGTACACTAGACTATTTGTATTGTCGAACCTGAAACGCGAGAGAAGTAAAGGTTACTAGTGGAACAAGGCCGTATTCGTTTTTTTAAGGGCAAATACTTGTGGAAGACGTTGGGGGAGTCGTTCTTTAGAGGAGTAAAGCTAAGAATTTTTGGCGATAACTGGCAATGAAGTAAGACTAAAGTATTGGGCCAATATGAGTGGACATAAGTCTTCATTAATATATCCTTGGAACAAGTTGGGCCTGGCCTGATAATAAAACAAGAGAAGATTGTAAAGACTAGTATAGGATGACGTTGTTAGCTTTCATAAGTCATACCAGTAGTAAGCTACTAGCAAACTTGGTCACGGGCTGAAAGAGAGAGCTAGCCGCGTAAGTTTGGTTTGATTGGGAGCCGGTGGAAATAAGCAGCAAGTTCACCGACGTGAGACCACGTGGCAGACATGCTTTTGCGTGGACATTGGACCTTTTGTCTCTCCGGGTCCCCCCGAGATGGGTCAAACACAGCAAAGGTCAAACCATCAGAATATTCGTTCACACTGTCACATCCACAGAGACAAAAGGCTATATATATATATATTACCACCAAAACTCTTTTCTCTCCTCTTGCTTTTTTTTTGTTTTGCATGGACGATCAAACCATCATAAGAACAAATATATATAAGTCGACTTGTTGATATATATATATATTTATATATATATATATTGAAACTTTTTGGAAAAGGAATCAGTATGACATGTTCTCCCATCCCATTATATAGAGCTACTTGTTTGTTTCTTCGTTATTATTGGCAATTTGTAAATATTTTTTTTTAATTAATTAGACAATATTTTAAAATATCCTCACAATTCATATTTTATAAAATATTTTGTATGCCACTAAAAAAAAAGCTGTATATCTTTTTATCCGATGTGAATCCTTTCTTTTTTCTTGGCTGTCAAATTCTTTATTTTTATAAAAAAATACCAATCAAATGTAATTTTAAGTTATATAGCATCGTAATTATGAATCTTTGAATTTAATAAAGTTTTATTCAAAGCATACTGATTTTAATCATGCTTTTCTTTGGGGTGTCTGTACCACATTATTGGGATTTTATACTTAACATACCTTTTAAACAAAAAAAAAACAGAAAAGTCAAAAATGGAGATGCGGGGTATCGATCCCCGTACCTCTCGCATGCTAAGCGAGCGCTCTACCATCTGAGCTACATCCCCTTTTTGTTTTAATGCTGCCTTATTAATTAATTATCTCTTTGGAAACGTTTTTCTTAACTCAAGTGGCTAATCACTAATGGATTACGTTTACCTTCTTAATTATATCAACCACAATCAGAGATTTGTGAACACTATGACATAACCGAACAAAAGATTGATCATCAAATATGTAACATCTAAATTAAAGAAGATAAAAGGGCTAAGGTGGTTTTCATGTTTTCTGTTGTTTTAAAAGAACACTAGAGATATACAAATGTAGTGGGAGAACAGGGAAAATCAACCCAAACTATTTCCCGAAGATATTTTCATACTCAAACTCGCGTACTCTGAATTTTACAATCCAAACTAGTTTTCAATTCAAATAACCAATCTGAACTATATCAAATTTTGTCAATTTCAACCTCGATGTTAACAGTATCCCTGTCCATCTTGAATATTTGGACAATTAAGCTTAAGCTCAAGCTTAATTTCTCTTAGTTTTTACAGAAGCTTAAGTTTGATTGGTTGATTTTCCCGTTTTCCCCAAATGTAGTAGATAGTAGATACAAAAAGAAGAATTAAATCACCAGACCACAAATTTTTTGGTCTTTACCAAATTAACTCTTAAACAAAAGAAAAGCTGGTCAAAACAAAAAGGGTAAAGGGCAACAAAAAAAGAACTCAGCAGTGGGGCTTTAGTGTGGACCTTATAAATTTCCATTGAATACAAAGTGTTTTTTTTTTTTTTTTTCACTCCTGAGCACTATACAAACCCATGCACCAGATCAATGAAGTCGCATTAATTAATCATTTAAAACAAAATCAAATTGTATTAATCAAGATCTGGTTAAGAAAATAAATAAGCCAATGAGTCAATGACAATCTTTGTCGGTCTTCTCTCTGGATTTAATATTTCAATTCTTAACAAAGGAGACCTTAAACAATTGTCATTGTGGACTAATCTAAATTACAGAACGGACCCGACCCAGGATCATTCTTGGATTTAGCTTGTATATTATTGAAATTCCAAAAAACCTTTCACACCACGTTAAGGTTTACACGTTAAGGTTTACACTCTTAGCTACTACTAAGCAAGTGGAACCAATCAATACTAATAATAATACATGATACACCCAAAAAAGAAAAAAAGAAAAAAACACAATTTTCTGACAAAAAAAAAATGTTAAGAACGTACGTAGGGTTAGCTGGAGAGATGCTGGTAAACTGGTGAGCCTCACGAGCATTATCTTATTCCAAATTATCTAGAAAATAAATATTATTAAATGACCACTTTTCGTAAAATACATAATGCGGAATCAAATTCAGATAACAACATATCGATGAGAGGACATGATCGAAAAACATTGACTCTATTACGTTGTAGTCTAAATTATAAAAGATTTATCATAAAAAATCATAATCATATAAGCATATGATATACATATAATAATGACTCTACAGAATTTATTATGTAACCAATATGGCTAATTGCCTAATTGGCTGGATATACGTTAAATGAGCCGAGCTGAGCCCCGCCCACTAGGTGGAGTTTGTACATCGAGAAGTACAAATACAACAAGGTTAAGTCGTTAACGTCAGATCCAACGGCTGAGAGCGATAGAACACGCTGGTGTGTGAAGGGCTAATCTTTTCTGACTTGATGATATAAACTTTATTTCTTCGTAGTACCAAAAAGGTTTAAAAAAAATTGAAAACGATTGAGAGCAATGACAACACCAACTAGTGCCAAAACGAATCGAAAATAAAAAAAAGAGGAGAGATTTTGATTTTCGAGAGATAAAGAGATACAGAAAGCTCGAAAACTGATAAAACGCTATACACAAGCAAAAAGAAGAAAGGCGGGACCGATCCGCCATTAATGCCACCACCCCAACTGCAACGCCTTTCTTACTCTGTCTCTCTCTGTTTCTCACTTTCTCCATCTCTTGGCTGAGATAACTCAAAAACAAAAAGAAAAAGAGAGAAAAGGTGAGTAAAGAATCTGTCTTTCTTCTTCTTCATTTGTTTAGTTGTTAGGTTACTTAAATTGGCAAAAGAGATTTGATGAACTTGGTCATATGCTTTTAAAGTAGGGTGCATACATATTGGGAGGGTCTGGATTATAAAGTTGGCAAAATCTTTTCTTTTCACGATTTGATCTATTTCTGCCTCAACTTTCCAGCTTCCCTTTGATTTAAAGTTTCCACCTTTTTCTTATCTTCAAGTGTGATTATTTATAGCGAGACATTGCAGAAGCGTGTCCAATTTGCTTCTCTCTCTCTGAAAATTACTCACTCATGGGGATTTGCTTGAGTGCTCAGGTCAAAGCTGAGAGCCCAGGTATAACACACATTTACTTCAGTGTTTTTTGCTTTGCTCTGTTCTCTCATAAGCTACGAGTCTTTTCTTATGAATCTTGAGTTTGAGTAACACATCTTCTGTTTTCTGTTCCTCTCTGTTAAGGCAAAGTTCTTAGATTTGTTCACCACCACCTTAAAGTTTTGATTTTTTTTTTTAATTTCAGTCGAGGTTAGGGCTTTTTGTGTTGTGGCAAGTTCGTTTAATTTAACGAAAGTATGAAGCTAATTAATGTCTTTTTTGGTTTGGTGGGTTTAGGGACGAGTCCGAAGTATGACGCCAAAGATACTGGAAGTCTTGGGAGTAAGGCTTCGTCTGTGTCTGTAAGACCAACCCCTCGAACTGAGGGTGAGATCTTACAGTCTCCAAACCTCAAGAGTTTCAGCTTTGCTGAGCTTAAATCCGCAACCAGGAATTTCAGACCAGACAGTGTGCTTGGTGAAGGTGGATTCGGTTGTGTTTTCAAAGGATGGATTGATGAGAAGTCTCTTACTGCCACAAAGCCAGGCACTGGTTTGGTTATTGCAGTCAAAAAGCTTAACCAAGATGGTTGGCAAGGTCATCAGGAATGGCTGGTAAAAAAAAAGCTAACATATGCCGATTTTGGTTCTTGTGTGTGTTATAATGGTTGATGATTGTGATATTTTTTCGATGATTTTGCAGGCTGAAGTGAATTACCTTGGCCAGTTTTCTCACGGTCATCTTGTGAAGCTGATTGGTTATTGCCTAGAGGATGAACACCGTCTTCTTGTTTACGAGTTCATGCCTCGGGGTAGCTTGGAGAATCATCTTTTCAGGAGTATGTCATCCTTCCTCTTAAGTCTAATCCCAGGCTGGGGTCAAACTTTAAGCTTTTTATGATGTTTATGAATGGTCAAGGTTTGTTTTTCTTGGGTTGCAGGGGGTTTGTACTTCCAACCATTATCTTGGAAACTCCGGTTGAAAGTTGCTCTTGGTGCTGCAAAGGGTCTTGCTTTTCTTCACAGTTCCGAAACAAGAGTGATATACCGTGATTTCAAGACTTCTAACATACTTATTGACTCGGTATTTTACACTTTACACATTTTTTATATGATTGCCATGACAGAACTGCGAAAGTTTTAAGCTTTATGATGAAAACTTTCGGGTACATGATCGCAGGAGTACAACGCTAAGCTCTCTGATTTTGGATTGGCCAAGGATGGGCCAATAGGTGATAAAAGTCATGTCTCTACACGGATTATGGGTACACACGGATATGCAGCTCCTGAATACCTTGCAACAGGTCATTGTCAAATTCTTTTGGTCAAATCTTTGCTTTCTGGTATTGGCCTCTTCTTATGAATGATCACTTTGCATATTCTTTAGGTCATTTAACAACAAAGAGTGATGTCTATAGCTTCGGGGTTGTGCTTTTGGAGCTGTTGTCTGGTCGTCGAGCCGTGGACAAGAATCGTCCATCTGGAGAGAGGAACCTTGTGGAGTGGGCTAAACCATACCTCGTAAACAAAAGAAAGATATTCCGAGTCATCGA